TCCTTCTAAAAAAATTAATTAAATATTTTGATAAGTTGTCAAAAATAGAATTACTATATTACCATTTTAGCTTATTTAAAAAATATCATTGAACATCTCAAACGAGTGGTTTACATTGGATCTCACGGTTACTACAAACTAATTAGTTTTCCTCTGAATGAGCCCCTATGTGTGTGTGTACACACACACACACACACACACATATATATATATATATACACATATATATACACACACATATATATATATACATACATACATACATATATATAGTGTCCAGAAGTTTGTTTTCTATGGCGGGCCACAACCAATAGGGATTGCAACTTTATCAGCGCATGTGTGATTTTGAGTAGCAATTGTTGTGATAAGGTACCTAGGAGGGACGTTGAGGATAAGTGCTAACTCAGGACTAGCAGATTCAAATGTTTTACATTAACTGGTTTTCATTGTGCTATTGAACTATCAGGGATTTTCTCACTAAACCGTATGGTCTAATTCTTATCTTGTTTTCAAAATAAGCATTTCAGGACAACTGTGTTTAAACAATAAAGGAAAAGAAAAGTTGTTAAATTACCTGTTGGGATGTTATCTGTGATGAAGGTCGGGAATTATATGGAAGTTTGATTATTGCTATATAGGAATCTTTTGTATTAAGATTCTATGAGCAAAAAGTTTGTATGGTATTTCAGATGGTTGAATAATTATGTTATGATGGGACCCAAAGTGTAAGCCAAATATGTTATATGGATTAAGTGGGTTGTTACATCAACGCTATATGTAAATGATATGGTGTATGAAGGACGATATCAAACTCAAACGCTGAAGATGCTCTTAATTTATGTTCGGTATAATTCGTGAGTTCGGCTTGTAATTGATTTTTGTTCGTTCATTTCTCCTACAGTAGTTTTGTTTCTCTTATTTTCGTGTTATTACTTACTTGAAAATGGCATCAAACAATGTCAATGATTCATCCAAAGAGCATGTTTGACTAAGACGCCATTTACTAAACTCTTACCCGGTAAGTACTTACTGTACAATTTTCCTTACCGGATGAACATGGCAAGGGGCAAGAATCTTACCCGGTAAGAGCCATGATAAGAATGGAGAATCTTACCCGGTAAGCGAGGATGACGACTCTTACCCGATTAAGCGTATACCAGGTAAATTGTTGCATAAGATATGTTTTGATGTACCACAATCTTGCCCTATAAAATAAATTATAGTGTTAACTCTTAATGGTAAACGCTTACCGGGTAAGCATTTAGGTAAACATCACGTAAGCTCTCTTCGAAGTCATGATTCATCCAAAGAGCATGTTGACTAAGTTCTCTTCGAACTCGGCCGAACGACCGAAGTTTAGAATTCATAAAACGTGGTGATTCTTGTAAACGGGAAAATGAAGCACAATGCAGAATGTATGACGGTCTCTTTCCAACGGAAAGAAATTCAATTATACATAACGCCAAAAAAACATGTATGGAGTTAAAGTCAACAAAAAAGCAAGGAGGAGTTTGGACGTTCAATGCCGAGTTGAGCCGGAGAATGACAACTTAATGTGTCATTCAAGTAGGAATGTCGTTTTGACTCTTTAACTACCCAATTGACAACGTTCATCCAAAAAAACACTATAAACCGGTAAGTCATCAAACTCATAACGACGCATTGGATTGAACCCCGGTGGAGATTAGTAAAACGTGTTGTCACGTTTGAATTGTTTAGTGTGCCATATAATGGTAATCTATCATTTAAAATTATTAAAAAAATGTGTTGAATTTTATTGTTTATCTAAAAATATTAGTATTTCACTTGATAACGCTAGTTGTAATACTGCATCTATAATGAAATTAATGTTGGCTATGAACGTTATTGTAGTAGGTTAATTATTTCATACATATTGTATGCATATAATTAATTTAATTGTTCAAGACTGTTTAAGAGTAGTTCAACCAACACTAAATAAACTTAGACAAATGGACGAATTTTCACAGAGGTAAAAATATTCACGCATTATGTAGGAAATATCTCGCCAAGGTTAAGATTAATGCTTTAGATCCGAACTTGGATATGGATATTTGATAAAACTTGATTTATTTTATAAATGAAAATTTGGTAGTATTTTTCTTCGTCTTCAAATTGGGAAATTAATTTGGAGAATATTTATTAACTTTGGGCTCCTTTCTTAACACATAAAACTAATATATATATATATATATATATATATATATATATATGTATGTATAGACTTGATATCATGTGAGATTAAGGGTTTTTCGTGAGACTCGTAAGACTAATTCTCAACTCTTTGATTAGATCTACAATCTGAACATTTATAATCACAAAATTGCCACGAGACTTCTCAATAATCACAAAATTGTCACCGTGCAACTTTGGACCATGAGATCATTAGCTTATAAAGTTGACCAATGAACATAAATTGGTCTTACGGGTCTCACGAAAAACCTTTGGTCTCACGTGAACCCAACCCGGTATGTATATATCTATATCTATATATATGTGTATATATATATATATATATATAAGGTCAGGTTCAAATGTTAACCAAAGTTTTTGTGTTAACTTTGTTAACCGATCTTGGCCATTCAATCTATCAATAAACGGTTGTGATTAATCATGATAAAAACTTATTTTTTTAAATTTAAAATTTCATAAAGATAAGTGAACAAAGTTGAAAAGGGTATTTAGGTAAAAAAAAATTATGTAACTCCCATATCATTAATTGGAAGTTACAAAATTAAAAAATTTTATGATTTTTGTTAATTTATTTTTTATAATGTAAGAACCATATGAACACAACTATATATATATATATATATATATATATATATATATATATATATATATATAAACCATTGTGTCAAATACGAACAAAAAATTGATATATATATATGAACTTGGATTGCATAGCATTTATGAACACAATATGAACATAATAAGAATAACTGTTATACGAAAAAAAAAAATTAGGTATGAATACGATATGAACAGCTTGTGAATAATAGTTCATTCATTATAAACACATTCAAAAGCAATCCTTTGTCAACTGGAGTTTTATACATGCATTGCATCCACACCGTTTAAAGTTCACCCTTTGTTCATATATGTTGTTGGTCTTATTGTTCATATATGTTTCTGGTTTTATGTGGTTGTTCACCCCTTGTTCATATATGTTTCTGATTTTATGTGGTTGTTCACTCCTTGTTCATATCGTATAAAATATATGAACACATAACCCCGACGCTATGAACACCGGGTGCAAACACTTACACAAATATAAAGATTTGGTATCAAGCTTAAAAAATAACACTTGTATTCATATGATAGAAGTAACATGAACAAAATGGGTCATGATTCATAAAAGTCAGGTCGTGCATGTACTTCCATTTGAACATGTGGATTAGGTACGTATTAATAATTAAAGAAAAAAAATTATCAACACAATATGAACTACAAAAAACACAACACATCATAATGAACACAATTTCGATTAAAACGTGTCTAATAAAATATTAATTCATTACCAAGACATTCGCTTTGGTTAATTTCTTCA